AATCAGGTATTCCTTATTGGGATTGGAGAGTGACGGTAGACCAGAAAAACTGTCTCCAAAAATAATGATTGTTGTCCTTGATGGTAATTTCAAACACTATTCTTTTTTTTATTAAGCTTTTCAAAGTTTTCATAAAGTGTTTTTTTTTTTTTTTTGGATGATACATTTTAAGACTGAAACACGGTCTCAATCCCTAATTATGTGAGAAAAAGCAAGCATATCATTTGTTCTTTTACCCAGTTTCATTAAGAAAATAAATGGAATGTTATAAATGAATTTAACTCCTCTGAGTGTGACCCATTATAGTGAGTGCTGTTTACCCAGATGAAGTGAAGCATTCAGTTTGAGTGGGTGGAGAGAATCTGCGGTGTTACTTCAGACATTACATCATAATATTGGCATGATGCTTTGCAGACTGCTGCATGAAAATTTCACTTCCTATCATAATTCATACACGCCTTCACAGAAGCGGTAAGCAGAGGCATTTGACATGTGCAACGACATACAGCTATGAAAGTTGCCCAACACAGCTAAACGCTGAGACTCTGCTGGTGGTTCCAAATGTTAACAGAATTTTCTTGTTTTATACATAAAAATAAAGTGTGTTCATTCATTAGAACATATACACCCGTGTGTTTAAATGTTTTATGGAAAGTTATGTTTTTCCTCCATTCAAATTAGCAAAACCTGAACTATATTTTAGATTTAGATTTAAAATCCTCCTGCAGACTGAAAGCTGATTCACCGCTGATGGATAAATTGACACGTTGCATTGGAATTTTGAAGTCTATTATATATAAAAAAAAGGCTTAAAAGTTTTGTTGGCTTAAATTTTTGTTTCTTAAGTCTAAATTCCAGGTACATTGAGTTGAAAGTATATTTGATAACTTTACACTGTTATTACTATATTACTATACGATGGGTTCACATTTTGTATAAAAATCACACCAAAAAAAGCTGCATTATTAGGCTTTAATTTTATTTACAACACATACAAAAGTCAAGATAAATTAGTAGTGTTGCACCGATACCAAAACAGGTGGTGCCCTGATCCAGCACTAAAATGGTAGTTCTACTGGATTCTCTTTGTATTTGTCCTTTTCCTGCGTCTCAAAGGCAGGCAGCAGCTTGACAAAGCCATGATGGCAATTATTTTACATCCCAGTAGTATGCAGTTCTTCATATAAACACACACATAAATTTCAAACGGATGGTATCTGTATCGGCTGGTACTGCACAGCCAGGTATCGGGTCCAAAAAAAGGCATCGGCGCAACACTATAAATTAGGCCACATCCAATATACTCAAAGCTTTACAGCAGATTTTTTTCAGACATTTTTTTAAATAATCAACATTTTGATAAATACAATATATTGCTATGGTTGAAGAAGACAAATAAAAAAGGACAAAAGGAAAAATAAAGGACAGCATTTTAGAATTAAACATTAGACATAGGTCCCATTTGACAGTGTTTCATCCGATTTCACGGCCCTTTACAACCTTATGTATGACTACTCTTCAAGTCAATTCACAGGTAAAGGGATTTATCTCCAGAGATGAAGATGACTGTCTGATATCTTCTTTATTCCTCGTGAAAGTGAGATTAACACCCTTTGTGGTCCGTACTTTGATATGAGAGTGCTGACATGAAAGTGGAGCACATTATGAGTTGCCATCTATGTTTACCCATTAGTGAAATACCCTTTAAGCTACAGCCCTATTTTTCAGGATTAATCTCATCAAACTGCAGGTTTGTTTCAATCTGGTCCATTAATGTAAGATTTTAGACCTGCTGCCTGAGTGAAGCGGGATTTGCACATGAGGAACCTACATAAGCTGTGCATCAACCGAAGTTTACAGGTCTTGTAGAAACACTTTGAAATCCCTATCATGGCAGTATATAAATATAAAAACTGATGTCAGTAAAAGTTATGTTTTCATCATTAAAGTGAAGTTCTAACTTTGTGTTTTGAGCCAACAGGCCGTTTTCGAAGAAGACAATTTTTTCTTGCTTAACAAGCCCCTCTTCAAACGGAGCGAATTGATCTCCACTTCTCTGCCAGAGTAAAACAGATTTGCTTGTAACCTTTTCTGCGGATGGGAATGTCACCCATCCAAAGAGGCTATACTTGCAACCTTTTTCAGCTTGGAATATGTCATACGTTCTGTCGACACCACTCTCTAAAGAAGAAATAAACAGATTTCAATTAATCCATTAAAAAAAGCATTATTTTCTATCATCAATAGGAGAAAAAAAATCTGTACTTACGATTGAACTTGTAATTGAACTTGACTATTTGAGGATAACACTTAGCAGATGAATGGTCCTGTAAACAGGTAGATCCATTATGAACACATGTGAATATAGAGAAAGCACCAGAAGTGTTTACTTTAATGAGCTCGATTTTTTTCCTACCTGTTTGCAGGATGAGTAGTTTAAACCGTAGTTGATGAGCACCGCCACCATAACCACAGCGAGCAGTCCAGCCAACACACCCACAATCTTCAAGCATTGCTTGGTTCTACTAGAACCAGGAGCAGCTTGACCCAATGTGTGAATCTCTTTGATCATTCTCTCCTCCAGCTCTGCCATCTTTCTGCTCGGGATGCAACTGTGATACCTCTAATTATAGGCAGGTGCCTTATAGCTGCTGCCTTCCCACTCACTCACAGAGTGAGTGGGAATTCCAGACTCAGGCTCCGCCCTCAAGGAAGGGAAAACAATATCAAAAGTGAATGAGGGAATCCCTCTGCAGTTATACGCCTAAAGCTGTTTAATAATTAAACTGTGCCAAGGAAACGTCGCGACTGCATCTGATTAAAAGTTTTTCCATCGTGTGCGTGGGTTGTCCACCTCCTGGAAGTTGAAAACAAGACCACGTGAGTTAACATGGTTTGCAAATGCAATCCTGAGCGACACCCTTATTCAGTTCCTGCCACATTAATCACAATACCAACAGAAAGGGAATTAATTTCATTCATTCAAATAGGAAAGTGTAATTTAAGGTTAATATGGAGTCAATATGTTCAAGGTTATAAATGACTGTTTAGTTTTTTTTTATTTTCTAATGGTTCCTGCTAACAGCTAATGAAATGAAAACAATTCAAACTCTAATTTTTAAGGAAGAAAAACAGAGTTGGAATCCATCTACATGGAAAGTTTGGTAAAATACAAAGATCTGGTTAATAAAAGTGCATAAGAAAAGCATTTCAAGAGTTGGCTGGGAACAGTACTTAAAGTCACAGCATCATAGACGCGCAGCACAAAGCTGCATTAACTACAACTGTCACACTTCTGTTATTTAGCTACTCCTGATCCAGAGAAAAGGTTAGTAGCCAAGAAAGATTAAATGAAATAGGCACCCGCCCAGAAAGCATGGTTTATAAGTCCTCAGTTTCTCTTACCTCTGATAAAAGTAAGTTTTGTTCCGTAGTTAAGGACTTGGTCTAGATGACCATTGGAGAGACAGACAATCCAAGATGTTCGAGTTTCAGGCTGAATTTTTTCACATTCTATGAAGGTTTTGGAAGCCATAGCCATTGTGTTTTCCCCAGTCTGACATCAGTGCTGGCTTCTATCTCTGAATTTCTGAGCAATTCATGATTCCTCCCATTGGCTTTATAAGGATACTGGTTTTCATTCCCCAGAGACAACAAGTTTTAACGCATTCCAGATATTTGCTTAAGAGATCATGGGACCCTGAATGTAGTTAACATTTGGAAGTAGAAGCCAGATGTTAGGAAAAATGTTTGAAATACCATAGTAGTGAAATGTTCTGCTGGCTGTCTTTTTTAGGAGTGAGCACATATTACTTCTCTTCTACTTATTATCCACATTAGAATTACTTACAAATCTTTAACCTACTGACCTGAGAGCTATACATTTCAAAAGGCTGCACATACTTTGCAGAAAAAGGTTTAGTTACTAACACATAAATGGTATCAGTCAAGCTTCTTCTTATCCCCCTGGTGAGATTATTATTGTTTGGAATGATTATAAATGTTATGTGTCCAAAATCAAATAGAAAAGCAAATATTTGGTGTTCAAAGATACAAATCATCAAGAAAAAAACAGTTGCACGATGATGGGTTTATGCATTAAGCTGCATGCTCTTATTCTCACTTTTTAAGTGGGAGAGAAAGCTGCTTATTCAAGTTGTTGCATGAAATAGTTATTTAACTGCTGATGTGTCAGCTCTGCTGCCTGTCATGATTTGCAGCCGTTTTCTTTTATTACCCTCAGATGACGAAACCAAAGCCTAAAAGTGAATTATTAACAGATCCTTATGGCCAGTGAGGGATAACAAATGGGATTTTTCATGTTCTCCGGTCACAATGCTGCAGTAGGAAAACAGAAACCCTGACTGAGACGAACTTATCACGCTGCATAACTTCCTATTCTCTGTCTTTTTTGGCTCCGAGACATTTGGCAGCAGAAGACATATGAGAAACTGTGCAGTTGCATCACCCTCTCTGTCTTTCCCACTCACTTAGATAAACCACGCACTTATGACGTTTATCTGCCAAACGGACAGGTTGTAGTCTGTTGCTGTCATGCTTGTACTCAACATTTCAAATTGAAATACAGTAGCACACGAAAAACGGCTTGTCTTTGTCATTATTTGCCTTTTTTCAAGCGATGAGCCACAAAAACCTAAATCATGTGTCTGTCAACAGAAAACCATTAAAATAACATTAGATGAAGATATGCAGCTATCTTTATTTTTCATTATTTACCAGATCATCCAGTCAGATTGATTCAAAGTTTTCCATCTAAGGAAAACCAGTTGATTGCATCGACTCATTGACTCTTCAGCAATCCCTCACACTAAGCATGCTTGTAGCGACAGTGGAGAGGAAAACTCCCTTTTAACAGGAAGAAACCTCCAGCAGAACCAGGCTCAGTGTGAGCAGCCATGTGCTGAGGCCCACTGGGGTTCAAGGAGACAGAAGTAGAGATGCAAAAAGCAGCTGTGAAAGGCGGCCAAAACTATCTTTGTTTTTTATTTTCATCAGAACTCTGGCTGCAGCATTTTGGATCAGCTGACGGCTTTTAGCTACAGTTTGTGGACTTCCTGATTAGTGAAGAATTAAAATAGTCCAGCCTTGAAGAAACAAATGCATGGACTAGTTTCTTAGCATCACCCCTGGGCAGGATATTTCTAATTATCATTACATTATCTGACACCTTTATCCATATTAGCCTCTTACACCCTAAGGGGGTATAAATAAATTTCTGCCTGACAAAAACACACAAAAGTAAA